TGTTTTCTGTGGTCAATAATCTTAGGGAATTATTTACCGCTGCAGCTTACTGCCCTCCAGTGGTGTTTTGAGTACCCTAAGACAGAACCAGCCAGAAGTAAAAAACTCGATGGTTTCCCTATGGGTGAAAGAAACTCTTCCGAGCGGCTTGGTGGAGTGTCCACTGTTCCGTCTACTTATGGTAACAAGGTGTTTGTACATCGCTTCCTTGATGTTGTTCGTTGAATCTCGTGCTTCGTCTGTTTCTTATCCAGTTCCCGCCGCACCTGGAAAAGAAAACAAGAATGCAAAGAACCTTGTTGAGGAAAATGCACCAAATCAGCGTTTAAAAAACGGTGTGCATCCAGCATACAGTAAAATAATGCCAAGTTCACAACATCGTAAAAAATTATGCACCTAATTTTTTTAGTGCATGTACCATGTACAGTTATAGGAAAAGATTTTTACTTGTGTTCAATGATGCTATAAAAAAATTGATGTCTGAAAACAAAAAATAACTAACACCACAAACGAATGAGTTGGGTGAATCATACGCATTAGTTATGTAATATAGGTGTGAAGATATTCCCGGAATCTTACGCTACGTCCAGAACGGGTTTTCTTAGAGGGCTCGACATAGGGTTCGGTGGCTTTCGCCGTGTTAGTGAGTTCTCCGAGGACCAAAGGATACTCAATTACTTGTGGATTGTGGGGTACGCTCAGCTGTATGCTGATAGGATTACCTCCCAAGTAAGCTGCTTTCAGACGGTCAATACTGACGGTGTCCTCACAGCCTTTTTTGTCTAAGACGAAGAATTTATCCGTACATTTAATTACTTTATATGGTCTGTCGTATGGGGGTTCAAGAGGTCGACGCACAGTCTCGACGAACAAATAAATGTGAAGAAGTTTTCAAACACGGGTGAACAAAAATATCAATGGACTGTGGACGAAGAGGAGCAGGTTTAACTGAACGCATTGAGTTTGTAAGCCTGCCGGCGTATGAAGCGTGATCTATCGCTGGTGGGAAGCTCGAGGGAGAAAGCTTCGTGGTTGTCAGTGTATTTGAAGATTGAACGATCAATTCATGGTTGTTTGCTCAAACCCAACCTCCCCATATTTTTCGCGGGTTATCAATCCCGCAGTCATCGTCTCATCGTTCAGTGTTCAAAGGAACAATAAAAATTATCACAAGTATTACCGTGGTTTATCGTTATAACATTTGTTCTTAGACCCTGTGTAATAACATTATCGTTGGTCATATGTTGGCGTAGGAATAAAGGATTCTTGAGTCGCCAATCAGTGTTTTGGTTTTCGCGTTGGTTAATACAAAGCGTTTATGAAAGTCTTCCAAGGACAATGTGAAGTCCAGTGTAGTTAGACCTGGTTATTGACAGTGGTAGTACAACCGGCATCTGTTTTCAAGGCATTTCGTATTCCTAGGAGAAGTAGCAGAAGGGATTCAGTCCAGTGGGTATTATCTGCAGCTGATAAACCAGCTTTCAACTGTCTATGTAGGCGCCCTTCTATACTATTAGCTTGAAGATGGTAAGCTGTTGTTGTAAAACACATGTAACCTATGATTTTAGTAAGGGCGAAGAATAGGCCGCTTTCGAATTGCCGTCCGTGATCAGTTGTTATGGAAGATCGGCATCCAAAGTTTGCGATCCATCTTTCTGCAAAGACACGTGGGACTGTTTCAGCGGATACATCTTTGAGGGGTACTGCTTCAGGCCAACGTGTGAAACGATCGATGCAGGTTAAAATATAGGTATATCCATGGGATTCGGGAAGGGGTCAAACCAAATCTATATGAACGTGTTCAAAACGAGCGTAAGGGAGAATAAAGGTACCAAGTGGGCTTTGGGCGTGTCACATTACCTTCCACTTTTGGCAAGCTAAGCGCGTGTGTGCCCATTCCCTTACTTTTTTATTAATACCAGGCCAACAAAACCGACTAGTTACGAGCTTGACGGCAGTTTGAATACCTGGGTGGGGTATGCCATGCAACGTATTGAAGACGTTACGGCGACAACCTTTAGGCACAACGGGGCGAGGAGTACTCGTGGAAATGTCGCATAGAATAGTATCTCTTCCCATACCTAAGGGTTTCTCAGCTAATTGCAGAGTTGTTTTCGACAACTCATGTTGAAGCTCAACATCTTCCTTTTGAAGACGAGCCAGTTTTAGAAGGCCTACACCGTCGATTCGGGTGAGGGAACAAATGCGTGACAGGGCATCTGCCACAGTGTTGTTCACTCCGGATACATGGCGAATATCCGATGTAAACCGTGAAACGTAATCCAGTTGTTGTGATTCTCTAGGTGAATACTTATCTGAAGTTGAGTCCAGAGAGTACGTCAGAAGTTTGTGGTCAGTGAAAATTATGAATTCACGCCCCTCGGCTGAATGTCGAAAATGACGTTTAGCACAGTACATAGCCAGAAGTTCTCTGCCGAATGTGCTGTACTTCGTTTCTGCTAATTGAAGGCGTCTCGAGAAAAAGGATGGTGGTTGCCACTCTCTGTTAACTAGTTGTTGCAGAACTGCGCCGATTTCAGTGTCTGATGGATCGACCGAGATACTTAACGGTGCCGTTGGATCCTGATACATTGGAAGTGTGACATCCGCAATAGCTTTTTTACATGAGTAAAAGCATTTCGAGCAGATGAGTCTAGTTCGATAGACTTGTTATTGCCTCGAAGGAGGTCTATCAATGGGTGAATCAGAGAGGCACTGTTGGGAATAAACCGTCGGTAATAACTTGCCAAGCCATTAAAAGTGCGGAAACTTTTCACTGTCTGTGGCTCTGGAAAATTCAGTATCGCCTCAACTTTAGTAGCCAATGGACGAATGCACTTTCAGTCAGTAGTGTGACCCAGGAATTTGAGTGAGTCGACGCCTATCTGACACTTTTGAATATTGATGGTAACATCATGTTGGCGTGGCCTTTATAAATAAATAAATAAATGAATAAATTTATTCTCATGATACAGTGCATGAGGGACACCAGTTTACGGGCATCATCAAATTGTTACAGAAATAGTACCATAGTATTCAGTCACATTTTACAATCGATAGCAAAATATGTTTAACATGTATACTGGAGATTATACATACACTTGATAAATGTTAATCCCAATAGTATAAAACATCCTTTTCACTTATGTACAATCATTTCTGTGCATAGTTGGAAAAATCCGCTAGATTGTCAGTGAGTGCAACACATCAGGAATTACAGAAGTATTGTTGTCATCAAAGTCTCATAAACCGTTAATGCCCAGCTCTCGCTACGCTCGGGCCCACGCTGTTCTTAGAAGATTCAGAAACGCTTAGTTATAACGGACGCGAAAACCAAAACACCGATCTGCCGTTTGATATTTTGTATTGTTACACCAACATATAAAAGGAATAAACGAACTAAGCAACTAAGAAAACTAAGGTCTGTAAACAAATATTACAATAATAAATCGTTATGTTACTTCTGACGATGTTTAACTCTTCTTTCTGAACAGCGACCGATGAGACGATGACTGTCGTATTGATGCCTCCGCGAAAATCGAGGAAGTTGATTTTGAGCAAACAACCAAGAATTGATCGTTCAATCTTCAACTCCATTGACACTCCCCGGCAAAAAAGGGATCCAACCCTTTTTTCCTTCACGACCAATGCACGTTGACTTGGATGCCATTGCGAGAACCTGGGTCACACGGACAGAGCTGAAATGGAAAACAAACAGAAAAGCCAACACACCACAAGCATACCCACAGCACAATCTCACACATCAATGACGACCTGCGCCTCCAGACAGAGACCTCCTCTTGACATCTTGCAACACAGTCTCCACTTGCTAGAATGACTCTTGCAGAATGCAAAGTGACCATGGCAGCACCTCACGATACTCTACGCACATCCTCTTATCTACTCACTACCAATTACCACTGAAATCGCTTGTCACTCATTCTGCCTCAGTTCTAATAGCGGTGACGCATGCGAGCCTCAGTCGTTTACACTCTTTCTCCCCGGCGTGTCGGACCGCAGCTAACAATTATCTCCGTGTGCATTTCATTCTCAGCAATAGCCTAGCCTCCCCGGCGTATACGACCCATCTGCTGTCCTTAACATCAATCAATTCATTCATGGATGTAGAAGACTCGAAACAACTTCAGAAATAATCACGACGAAAATTTTAACAAAATTACGCAATAACAACAAGACACGAAAACAACAAGTAAACACAATGAATCCAAAAACACCAATTGCTATGACACACCACACGTATATACAAATAGTACAAACAACCTCGCCGATCATGTCTTGGTGGAATTCCTTTGAAGAATTGCAGGACTTACACCAGTACGCCTACAACCCTTCACAGGTTGACGATTGTAAGTTGTGGAATGTCCAGACACAAACAAGATTAACCAACAATTACATCAATTGGAACTCACACAACTATTTAACACAAACATATGTACAATCAACACATCAAATGTTGTGGATTCTGACACGACAAACTACCCTTGAAGAACCGTAGGACTTACAGCAGTACGCCTACATTCCTTCTCAGGTTGATGATCCAAGTGGAAGTCGTCCGGACACAAACAGAATTACCAACAGCTAGATGACAGATGATATCAATTCAGTATATACAATATGAACATATGTACAAAATCACACACCAAGCACATTGGACTGCTCATTGATGCGCTACCCTTTGAAGAATTGTAGGACTTACAGCAGTACGCCTACAACCCTTCTCAGGTTGACGCCCTAGGTTGGAAAATCGTCGCAGAGTTCATTTGCTAACTTCCTTCTATCAGCTATATCCTCAAATCTGAACGGCAACACGCCCATGTCATTGTATCGTAGAATATAGATGACCAACAAACACACGACATATCTCATCAACCAAGTATAGAAACAGAGTAATTTACACCAAAGATAATAACATTCAAATAGTAACTTGAAACTAGAAATGCCTTTATTCGTGCAAGTCAATTTAACAATAACTCTCTCCTTTACACTTGGCTTATCCACACTAAACTGACCATTGATATTCGTCCTTTCAAACGAACTGATACTACCATAGTCATTGCAGAAGATACTTGAGTTGATGGGCATCTGTTTCATTGTGGATGAAAACACCAACGATGACTGAGTGACACAAGGTGATGAACTTAGTGGTGGATCAGAAGCTGTTCTTGTTCGGCTCTCAGATAGTTGTCCAACTGCAAGATTACCACCACTGCTGTCTTTCACTACTAGTTCGGGTTTAGCACTATCATCTGATGATAGGTGGGCTACATGCTGATCAATTACACTGACTGTCTCACAAGTATGCACACCTTCTGGAACTGCATCTGCGTTCAATTCTACTTCACGTTGTAGTTGTACAGAACCTTTATTTAACTTAGCAGTAGTAGGCATATCCCGCATCTCATAATGATCAACCAAAGACAAATCTGCACTATCATGATCATCACCACAAATATTCAATTTACCGTCAAGTTCATCATTTTCAAACTCTTTAATAACAGAAGTAGACAATTTTGGTTCCTCCTCAAAATCATTAAAGGTTTTATAACTTCACTCTGACTAGATATACTTTGTAAACTTGTGGAGTCAGAACTCCACTCTGAAGCAGTAACTCTATTCTGTGACACTCTATTCAACAACGGCTTACCAGTTGCAACTACAGACTTCTTCACAACACCGTTATCGTCACACAATTCGGAGTCAGACCTGGAGTTTACATTTAGCTTATCACTGAACTTGCTCACTGGTTCACAGTTCACTTTTGTATGCACCTCTTGCAAACGAGTACAACACAACCGTGTTTGTCTTGCATCTTGCAACTTATCTGTTGAGGATGTACTACGAAACCTGTTACACTCACTAGATCTATATGCATTACTAGACATCATGGAGCCTTCTCGATATCCACCTCTCTGAGGCTTATTCGTCATCAATGAGTACGTTTTCCCCTCAGACTGCTCTATTCTATGGGTGAGATCTAACAGACTGGCGAACTTGCTCATAGATTGATTGACACTAGTATTTACCAGTTTCAGGATATCATCAAACTTTGGCTCGATACCCTCATCCTCCATACGGGAGCTTATCTTCACCCACTTCCTTTGCAGTCGGGTAGGTAGACGTCTTGCTATTACTTCTAGTATAAAACTCGAGTTGAGGTCACTCATTCGATTCATCGAAATCATTCCATTCTTGTAAATTAGCAAATTATCTAAAAACTCAGTGAGTGCCTGGGAGTCATCCTGTAACTGACCACCATTACCCTCAACAGCCTCGAATAATTTCCCTGCAATCATCGAGGGTCTTCCAAACCTTTGGCGTAATATGCTCATAGCCTCATCGTAGCCCTCCTTTGGCTTCATAAACTTACAACACTGTATAGCTCTTGCAGCATCTCCAGTGCAATATCTCATCAAATACATTAACTTCAATTCATCATTTAATAAAAAACCACTCAACATGATCTCAAACTCCTTTACAAATTGTAAATAATCAGCCGGGTTTCCATCAAAACACCGTGGTTCTAATTTAGGGAGTTTGATGTTCCTATTATCCCTGAACGGCGAAACAGTAACATCAACCATATCATGTTTAACATCAGACACATCGTTACAATTAACAGACAAGTCACCATGACTTACTTTCCTGTTTGCATCCAAGACACTCTGTCCCTTCTTTGACCCAGGCATTGTTGAACTTGACCAAATTCCAAAAAAGTTCCAGATATTGCTTGTTCAAAGAGGACTTGACCGGCACCAGGAAAGATGAACGGCGACTATCCAAACTTTCACCAACTGTTTCAATCCGCCAGATCTGTTTCCATCGTTAGAAACTGTCATCAAAGTCTCATAAACCGTTAATGCCCAGCTCTCGCTACGCTCGGGCCCACGCTGTTCTTAGAAGATTCAGAAACGCTTAGTTATAACGGACGCGAAAACCAAAACACCGATCTGCCGTTTGATATTTTGTATTGTTACACCAACATATAAAAGGAATAAACGAACTAAGCAACTAAGAAAACTAAGGTCTGTAAACAAATATTACAATAATAAATCGTTATGTTACTTCTAACGATGTTTAACTCTTCTTTCTGAACAGCGACCGATGAGACGATGACTGTCGTATTGATGCCTCCGCGAAAATCGAGGAAGTTGATTTTGAGCAAACAACCAAGAATTGATCGTTCAATCTTCAACTCCATTGACAATTGTCATCGCATTAACAAAATAACCAGGTCTTTGTTGGATGGGTTATAAGTGCCTGGGAAAAAAATAAAGCTTGAAGTCAATTTTCGTACAATATTTTTTTGTGTGCAGAGTCCTTGAATTATAGTTCATTGATGTGTTATTTTGAAATCAGTGATATGTTTATCTCATTTGATCTGCAATGTCATTGTTGGGAGTAAGGTACATAAGCTTTAGACGCATTAATTAATAGATTTCTACTGCTTGTGGGTATTTACTTCTCGTGAGGATGGTTTTTGAATTTTAGTTGTTACGACATGAGTTGTGGATATTGACTGCTCAGCAACATTACGGATATAAGTTCATCACATTATCTCAGGAATGTTGGGTTGTAGTTGGTGAGGCATATATGATGTCCGACGAGTGTACATCTGTCCATGTGATGTTGTGGTGAGTTCTATCTTTTTCACGTTGTCGGTTTATGTCCATTTTATTCCACTTATTGTGTTGGGTAGAAGTTTTACAAACGAAACTTCTGGTCTATTTGAGGGTAAGTATCTTAATCGTTAATGTTTTATCTAAAATTATAAATATAGGCAAAAACAACAGGTGTAGTATTTGAGCTTATACATTAAATGGACCTATAATTTTGGAGGCTCTCAGATAGGAACTAGGACTACTGTCGTTTGCAAACTCGTGTAGTTTGTCGTTAAGCACTTTTTTGAATGAGGCCAATGTACCTGCTTGACGCATTTCCATTGGTAGTTTATTCCATATCTGTGCATACCTAATCAAATAAAACTTTTGCCTGGTAGCTGTTTTACATTTTTCGATAGCTACTGTGCCCTTAGTGTGTCTTAGTTTGTAGACACTGTCATCTGAAAGTCGAATGCCATTAGTAGAGGTAAAAACTAAGCGGTTTAGAAGCTTATAGTAAAGTGTTAAGTTTAGTCTCAGGCGTCTTAGCCATAGTGTTTCTAATCCTAGGGTGTCACATCTAGTGGAGTAGTTCGCACCATTTTCGGTTCCGAGTAATTTTGACGTGAAGTACCTCTGCACTCCCTCGACTTTCAATTTGTCCTCTATGCGTATACTACCATACATGAATGAACAGTAATCAAATAAAGGACGCACACAAACCTTGTACAACAGAATTCTGGACTCATTTCTGTAAAAGTTCCTGAGTAGAAAGCCGATAAGTCTGCGTGACTTTGACACTTGTTTGGGGATATGTTCAGAAAATGATAAGTCATGTGAGTATTTCAGTCCTAGGTCCAATACAGATTCCAGTCGTAAGAGTGCATGGCCTTGAATTGTCAGGTCAAGTTCTAAATTGTTGCAACCTATGCAGAGCCAGCCACATTTTTCGACATTAAACTGGAGTTGCCAGGTGTCACACCATCTGTCCATTTTTTCTAATTCTTGCTGTATGGCGTTTACTGTTATTCCGAGATCTGTGTTCTTGCATTTATAGGTCACTTTTAAGTCATCTGCATATAGTATTGGTTTACCAACACTAAAGCATTCACAGATACTGTTTATATATATTATGAATAGGAATGGGCCTAATACACTTCCCTGGATTACACCACTACTTACTGGTTTAGGCCTTCACATACCAAGTTCAAGCGTCTAAGGTGAGTTTCCTTGTCTGGGCTGGTAATGAGGCGGTCGTCTAAGTATGCATATACAAAGTCGAGACCGCGAAATACTTCGTCGATGAAGCGTTGGAATGCTTGTACCGCATTCCGAAGACCAAATGACATACGTAGAAACTCAAAAAGTCCGAAAGGCATAATGATAGCCACTTTTGGAATATCGTCTGGGGCCGTTGAGATTTGATTATACGCCTTAACCAAGTCGATTTTAGAGAATATAGCCGCGCCGGATAATGTTGCCGTCAAGTCGTGTATGCGAGGCAATTGGTAGCAATCAGGAGTTGTTTTGGCGTTCACTTGCCGGTAATCACCAGTGGGTCTCCAATCGTTACTACGCTTTTTTGGTACTACATGAAGTGGGGATGCCCATGGGCCATTCGATGGTCGAATGATGCCAAGGGTGAGCACATGGTCGGACTCATTCCAGCGATTCTCAGTTTGTCAGGAGCAAGGCGTCATGCTTTAGATGTCACGGGCTGTCCTGAGGTTATGATGTGGTGCGAAACATTGCTTGGTTATTCACTGTAGGTCGTCAGACAGGCAATTAAGTTCCGGATGTTTATCAACAATCGGTTGAAAAGTTGGATCAAGGATTGCTTCAGTCTTAGCGAGTGGCAAGCTAGGGCCTATGTAGGTGATGCCTTTGATAGACAGACTAGTAGTATTGTCACTCAGTCGTTTTCGGCGGACGTCTACGAGTAAATCGTGATGATTAAGTAGGTCCGTGCCAGTGATTGGCTTTGTGACATCAGCGAGAAGGAAAATCCACTGAATAGGTTTGTGTAAACCTACGTTCAGATGGATGTATTTCCTACCAAAGTTTGCGATTGGTTTTCCATTTGCAGCCTGTAAGTTGAAGGTAGGTCGATCTGCTGCTGTAGCAGGAAGGACGCTGACTCCGGTGCCTGTGTCGACCAACTATCGAGTCTGGCTGATCACATCACGGATGTAAAGTAGGCGGTTAGTGCCAGTGGCGACGGTTGCCGCTAACGCCTGCCGGCGGGATAGTTTCCCACAGACTTTGAGACATTTCCAAAGTTACAAGGCTTACGTCAACATTTCGCTGCTTGGCCATAGGTGTTGTGGTACCAGCACCAGTCGGGGTTTTTTAGAGAACGTGGCGTGGACTTAGATCGGCCACGTGAGTTTCGGCGTTGAGGAGTGTTCGGACGACGGTAGGAAGAATTGCAAGGCATGTTTGACCTAAACATCTGCTGGATGGAGTTGCATAACTCTATCACTGCAGCATCCTTACTCGAAGTCTGTTTAATCTCTGAGCATATTTCAGGAACTGACCGTTTAGTTATTTCTAGGATCTTATCTGCAGAAATAGCTAAGTCATCAATAATAACACCCTGAAGTGTCACCAACACAGTCTGTACTGACTGTAGCAGTTTGGATAAGAAGAGTTCTCTGAAAAGTCCTTTATCGAACTGACTTTGGCCAATAACCTTTCTCATTCTTGTTAGCATGCTCACGGCTGACTGATCCCCTAACTCGATTTTACGAAATAATTCGTCCAGACGTTGTCGATCCGTGAGAACATTTCTCCATAGGAAGGAGGAACTCGTGCGAGTTACTTACCTTTGGACTCGACATCTGCAGCGTTACGCACTTACCTAATTCCCGTGGTAGGGCGTGAATAACTGCGAGGAGCTGTTAACGTTGATTGGTTATCCCATGCCGAAAAAAATCAGACTCAGTTATCGGAAACCACTTTTCAGCATTATCTGGCCAGTATGGTACGAGATGAATGCTTTTAGCAGTTGGACGAACACGAATGACGTTGGGACTAGGACAACACATGACGATTACAGTACAGTACAAGAAGAAACACAAAAAGGAACGAACTCATTGGGTTCATCTGCCTATTTATCGAAGATAGAATTCGCGGTTGGGCTCACCAGCTAAGAGACTGACGGCATTGACGTTCGCGAATTGTACGGAGTATACTAACTCAATATCTTATAGCAACAACTTCTATAGTATTCGTTTCTCGTGGTCTAAAGGCAAAGTGAAACAACTGAATTGGTTGTCCAAATTACGAGATATGCTTCGGCACCTAAAACGGATTGCGTGCTAATTGCCTAATCGGCTAAAGATCGTGCATGAACGTGACACGACGGAGTACCAAATGGCGTAGATGCTTGACCGCAAGCTTTTAGCTAAAGAAATCGACTTAAACAGTGAGGGTCAGCATCCAATATTCACTGATGATTGATGTGGTCAATAATTTTGAGGAATGATATACCGCTACAAGCTTAACATTTATATATTTTTTTCTAAACGTAGGTGCCTTGCACAATTAAATATCGATACTTTTAGGGTCAAGTTTCTTTCAGATGAAATTACAGCCTGTCAAATGCTCTGGTGCCGCGTGATTACCTTCTCTTCCATGAGCGGAAATGACAAGATTATTGTCTAACTGAAGCTTGTGATTTCAAATGAGCCTACTACCCAAAGAGACTGCCAATAGCTTCTTTATCCACCCGCTGTAAAAAGCAACAAAACATAAACCAGAAACCATCCATAACACTAGAGTTAACAACAGGTAAGTCTTCTGCACAAAATAAGGATTCCTGCTGAACAAACAGAATAACAATTCTAAAACAGCACGCGTAATATTACAAAAAGGCTTCACTCGCTCTTGATATTGGTCACTGCTAATTTCGAATACTTGTATTTAGCCTCAGATTGGTTTTCGAATGTCAATCAATTGGTACACATCATGCAATCGTTTTTGCACGTTTCTCCAACTTTTAAGACCCGCTAAAATTGGAGATTGATTTCGAAGCGCTCTTTTCGATGGTCTTTTATAAGTGAGTTCTTATGATCTTTTTTCCCCAGACTTACAGTGACTTGTGAAATATCAAATTATAAAAATTGGCCTTTTATTCTCTTGACCGTGCTTCATCTTGTAGAAAAACTGATTAATTACTCAAAAATACGTAGATTCAGGGAAATGCGAACTAACCGTGTTTAGAAAAATAGAGCCATGATAGTGTTGCTCATCTACACCGCACTCCGAAATGTAATATTGTCGCCATATGGAAGACAAAATTAAACCAGTTTATCATACAGAGTAGGATGTTTCTCAATACTGCACGGAGGGGCCGGAATATTACGTCGAGCATTTATCAGTTTAATATAGAAAATTTTTGAATATTCCCATTGCAAATTATGTTGTGAATATTTGTTTAAGGACGAAATATCCCATTAAGTATTTCAACTTGGGAAAGTACTGTGATGCAGTCATCTTTCATGGCATGTTCTCTTATCCAATAACGTGCATATACCTGCTGGTTTCTTGGTACATGCGTATCAATACTGTGGAACGATTCTTGATCTTTGTTGGGTGCTGGCATAGTAGCTCTATTTCTTTGCAAGATATAGCTATGTTAAGTGTAGATGCCTGGATCGCGATATTTTTGGTGGAAGCGTATGATTTATCTCTGGATAGCGTTGTTAATGGTGTTTGCAAATGTTTTTACTAGACAGGATTTCTTCGAATGTTCAACCTGTAAGACTTTTTAAACCGGTCCATGCACGACGGATCATAAGTCCTCTTCAGAGAATCAAGCATAGAAAAAAGACTGACTTCTTGTATTCTCTAATATAAGATAACCTCATGATGTGTCCGAAATATCTTTGGTCAAGCCGTAGGAGGGTTGCCATTTCAGAATAACTTATTCAATCAGGTGAAACCTTAATCTTGACATATGTAAACGTCTTATATGTGCATTGCAAGTTTTTCTGCAAAGCATTTGCGAAACGACAGCTGTATCAAGCAATATGCTGCAGATGCGTAACTGCTGTTGGACATTTCGTGGATGTCACCGACAACCCAGTATCTTTCTCAAACAGCTGGGATCGTCTCAAAAGAAGTGAATTGCTTGAGTGAAAAGGGCTACTATTTATCAGACTGAAACAATACAATAATAACAGGCGATATATCCGTTAGTCAAAAGTGCACTTAAAATTCTGAAGATCTAGAATAAGATGTGTGGTAATTCAATTTCAGCTGAAGTCATCGGATAAACCACTAAAAAAACTGAGCTATTGAATCGCCACTCTAATATGGATTATAGAGAGGCAAAACTTGTGGTCCATTTAAAAGACATATACTGGTTTGACTATGGTTCTTGGCCACTTGTACACAAAATTAGATAATGTTTATCCAGAAAATCGGGTGAATAACAACAACAATAACAAGAGTTGAAGATGAAAACAAATGACGTTAGGAAAGCTAAATTTAGTCTGTTTTACAGTGCGTTCGAAATCAGTCATAAAGTAGTTGCCTACGTGTAATCTCGAAAATAAGCATTTTGCAGTTGGTTTGTAGTACAGCCAAAGTTGCATTTATTAAGTGCGTGATTATGTTGTAATTAGAACTGGCTACTTAATTTTAAGCTGCTTTGAGAAGTAAAAATTTAAGTAATAAGTAAGATAATATTCATAATATTCTGTAGAAATCGCTTGCATTTGCGCTTGTCTGTCTGTCTGTCTGTTTTCGACGTAGAACTTTGCACAAATGTGCGGAAGTTCAAGTCGCCACACTCCGTGCAGCACGCGAAGCAAGAGAAGAAAGTACAAGGAAAGCATAATAGAAACAGTGAGCAGAGGTGTGGGACAAAAGAGTAACAAAGAAAAACAAAACAGTTTCATTGGAAATCATAAGTCACAAGGAGTGGATGCATCTGCGCCACTGAGAACGATTTTGAGCCATGTCACCAATTGTTTCCAACCATAGATTTTTACCGTCCTGAGGACCCCAGCCTGGAAGTCTACACCTTCCTACGTGGCTTAGACCAACTGTTGTGGATTTCATTGACTGGTGCAGCCATGTTTTTGTTTGACCGCCGCTAGCTTTTTTCTAGCCTGACTCTATATCCGCTAACATTGCTCGTCGAGGGAGGCGATGGCTTGGCATACGTAACACATGTCCTAACCATCTCAGTCTTTGTAACTTCACGACTTCGTCGATTAATTTCCCCTGTTTACCTAGCACTCGACGCCTAACTTCAATGTTGCTCACCTTATTATGCCACTTTACACGGGAAATAGAGCGCAGGTACCTATGATCAAAGACAGCTAGTCTTTTCATGTCTTCCACTCTCAGTGGCCAGGTCTCACAACCATAAAGGAGGACGGAGCGGACTGATGAGCAGTACACCCACCCTTTGGTCGATAGTCGAACATCTCGTCTACGCCAGAGTCGGCGTAAACTGGCAAATGCGAAACGAGCCCCCTGTATTCTTGCTGAGATTTCGTCAGAGATCAACGCGTTGGGGCTGATGGTACTTCCCAAATAAGTGAAGCGGTCAACGTGCTCTACAACTTCACTTCCTATTTTTAAACTAGGCGTCGATGTAGTCCAGTCCTGTAACATCATCTTGCATTTGGCGGGAGCGAATCGCATGTCAAACATTCGTAGATTGCGGCTCAAGGTGTTCAGAAGACTCTGCATTTCGTCAGCGTCTTCGCCTAGAAGGACTATATCGTCTGCATATTCCAAGTCAACGAGATTATTCCCTGTGCATTTGCACTTGGCAGTGATCTACATGTATTGTATGAGGACTATTAATAAGCATTATTATAAGCATCGGTGGCCACTATTCTATGGCGAACATTAAGTGGTGAGTGCATATACAAATCTCATTGGACGTATCATATAGTCATAAAGTCATGTAGCATCCTTGGGAAGAATGTCGACATGAAGGCAACATGATGCTCGTCGACCATATGCAATGCTGAGTATCAGCTGTGAGGTAGCATCTCTTGAATATGTTTTACGGTGATCATTTGGCATGTAAACGATTCTCATGGCTGGGATATTGAGATACCTGATTTGCTGTTATATCATGTCACGATACATTTGTTCCAAAGGGACTTTGGATACTCATTCAGTGTGCTGTACCTGAATCTGACCTTATACAACCTACGCCTTCAGTAGTTTAAGCAATCGACTTTCCGTCAGTGGGTGTTGAGTTCGAATCTCCACTTATCAACTTTAGCCCACACAAATGATATTCTCAGCTTTCAAACAATAAGTATGACTCGTAGCCTGGAGAAGCTGTCAATGTTAAATGAGTTCTTAAAAGAAAATAGAAATACATGCTACGTTATCTGGATTAAGACTGAACTAGAGTTTGTTGTTTTTCAGGTAAGAATGTCTTCGAGATTATCTTGCAGTAATTGACTGTAACGGTTGATAGTAGAAGCTGAAATGTAAATGAGTCACAGCAGGAGTCGTACTAGCATACTCTGCATGACAACATTCAGGTTACTTCACTCGAGATTATTTAACCTTCAACTGAAATTCTTCAGTAATTTATAGTATCCACTAATCAAATAGTTCCTGGATAAATTGGAGTTTGTGCTAGCACCTAGAAGTCATCCTAAAGTCATTTTATTTGAAGTATTATATTCACTAGTTGTAGGACAGATAACTATTACTTGCTTTTATTTGGCAAAAGTAATATTACAGCAAACCAACATATGTCTGACTGTGAAGGGAGTACCAAGTAAATTATACTAACAAGGCGCTCTCGTGTAACCGTGTAAAATCTTATTGAGATTTTTCATCTAGAACGATTGTATGACTTCGAATACATAAGGATTTACTTCTTACCAATTAATTTTTCAAGTTAATATAGAATACGCGAATTGTGCTTCTTTTACGTGAAAAGTCTGACGAAATGTAGTCTTCAAACGGATTGAGCTATATATACGTGTTTACCAGTCGATTGGTTCCTGTTAAATGCAGGATAATATTGCATGACTAGTCTGCGCAGACTCCTAGTTTAGGGATAGCGTGACTGGTTAAATATGCTGACCATTTCACTTATTTAGAGAAGTTTCATCAGTTGTAAAGGAGAGAAAAAGTTCACCAATCACGGTTTAATTATTGTTTCCTGTGCATGTTAATTTACTGGAGTTTCACTGCATTTTTTCTACTTCTATGTATGTAAATGTGATAACCTGTACTTTATGCAAAGTTCTACGCGGATAATTCAGTTAGTCGGTTAGCAGACATGCTTATTGGCTTTCTGTTCCAAGATATATAGTCAATCAATAACCTGGATTTACTGAGTGGCTTTTCAAGTTGCTGCACCACACATCCCACCCAGTGGGTGACAAAAGGTTATAAGAAAAGGACGTAAACAACGAAGTAAATTTTCTTTTCGACGATTCATTTTCATAAGTAGTACAGTCGTAATTGTATTTAATAAAGAATTCATTAGACCAATCAGATACTCGTAAAATTTGTTGTCGAAAGCGTATTAGGTAATGTAAGGTGTAGTCTAGAAAAGGGGGCAGAATTTGGCATGGCGTAGTAAGTGTAAGAAAATGACTAGTCAGTATGGACTCGGTTGTCATATGGATCACACCTGTCATCTGTGGTCTGATGATACTACTGCTTCACCATGGTTTAAAGGATTCGAATCCGGAACTCATTGGTTGAAAATCAAGTGCTAAAGCTAATTCTTTTCTGGTAATAAAAAATAGGACATAGAAGGCAGTGCGATGTAATTAGGAACTGCAAAATGCGGAGTGATAAAAGAAATGAGTTAAGGGCACTTGAAGAAGTGCGATGAAATCAAAATTAATTGTAAATGCATGTATATCGCTACGGTTGATGCCGAATCATGTAATCTAGTCTCTAACTATTTTCTCTTGTCTGGAGGAGCTCGGTCAGTAAGTTACACTCTCCTATGTGGCTTAGACTAATAATCAGTGACTTCATAGACAGGTGTCATGTTTGTAATTTGGAACCCTTACTTTTCCTTTCGGTTTCATATAGCTACTATTACTGTTGACGAATATTTCCAACCTGATAACTGAATGCACCTGTTTTACCTGAGATTCTAGGCTTATCTCTACTTCTCTTACCTAAGGGCTTAGCCTCAGATACAATGGTATTCTTAATGAGGTATTCGAAGTGTTTGCTAATCTACCACAAGTGAAAGGTGGTTAATTAGCTAGTTGGTATAGGGATCTTCTTGAATTAGCTGTTATCTATTTAGGGATTTCACATGATACCTATGGTTAAGGTACGTCTGTATTTCCTCAGTTTTAGGATATCCCTTTTCATCCAGTATGTCTTCGGCTAAAACAGGTGAGTAGCAGTTAAATCACAGCAGGTAAAGCAATAAGATTGTAAAAATAGAGTATTTAGGAAATGTTCGTTAGATTGTATGCTATTCTGTATTCTTCATTTAAAAAGTTCTGGGATCGAAAAGACAGGTTACCTTAACTCTATATTGGATGGATTCACATGTTCTCTGGACTGAATTAATTTTGGAGCACTGGTGATAAGGTTTGCTTCAAATGAGCGAAATGGCCGTCCGATGTTTAGGTCACATCGATCTGTATAGTGAGCACTACTGGTGTTTATGTGTGTGATTCTTAGTTGCCCATTATCATACAGTAGTACATACCATATGTACAAGGGTTACTCCTGCCACTAATTCATAGTTATCGATGATACAGTTAAGGTAACTCATGATAGAATTCACATGGATTATATTAGATCAGTAAAAAAGTACAAGGAGTCGTGTGTTTTTGTATTTAGCTAGCACCGAATGTAAAGTTAACATAAGCAGTGCGAATATTTCCTTAGTCAATATTTTATCGCTTATTTTTGTGTAATGTATTTTGAAACGACTTGTTGCCTATTGGTAATTAGGTAAATGTTTAGTTTTTTGAAAAATCCTGCCCATGTTACTTATTACTGTCTTTGGAACGTATCATTTTGGTATCTTCATTGTATTTCCAAGGGATTTTTGATGGGGAGATTAATTAGGAGAAATCATTGCCTCCTAGAAGAAGTTAATTCTATATCGCAAACACCTGGTATTCAGTCATATGATGACATGCTCTCAATACTTCAATATGTGTAGTTTGTGATTTTTGATATGTGGTTGTTAAGGATTGCAGCATGTAGCTGTAGTCATAAGTGTTCTCCGAGTTGAATTATTACTCTCTGGTTATTTGCTCTTATCTTTTATGTGCTGTAAATTCTTTTGTTAGGCAGTGATGTCTCACAAAAACACGGATTTTGTCATAGCAAAATTTGATTATAAAGCATCAGATGGTCACGAACTCGGTATTCAAAAAGGTGAAAGATTAACGCTCATTGACGACAGTCAGCATTGGTGGAAAGTGATGAATTCTTTCGGAAATACAGGCTATGTGCCCAGTAATTATGTTAAGCGCTCAAAGCAGGTAAGAATTTGATGTAGTACTATTTTTTTGTCTATGTAGGGTATATTTTCAAGTTTACGAAATACTTTGGGACGTCGAAAAAGTCGACAAGAAGGCACGACGAGTACCAGACAGTCAAACCCTTCTTCACCCACGCCAGATGGAAGCAATGGTTTCGCAGCCTTCGATTTAAGACATGAGAGTGCTGAGTCTCTTGGTGCAAAAGCTCGCGAAACATCTGGATCTACAAGTATGCTAAGCCCACCTAGCCAAGCTTTTGCAGATATGCGACTTCATGATGGAATGCCTAATACATTTCCCACTTCTTTACATAGTCAAACATCTACCCAACTTGGTGAAAGGTTTCAAGATGCAAACAAAACAGTTGATAATGAATCACTCAGTTGGCTCTCAAAATCTGACGCTAAACAAGTGTATCCTCAGGCAGGTGTTAATATTATTCTTTTACATATATGATTAGCTTCACCCTTATGTCTTTGTTTCTTGCAATACCAGTAGCTTTAGAACATACTGCAGATTTCCCTGAAGGATGGTCTTTTATTTATGATGTCTGGATATCACAGTGGTTTTAAATTGTTAAGAATGTAAAGTTCTTTCTATGCCGATATTTAGATATCACCTCGTTAATATCGCATTGTTTTTATGGATTGATATTGTCATTCCCTTGGGGTCCGACTGGAACAAGGGTTTCAACAGCACATCTCCATTTCATTCTATCCTCTGCAGTCATTTTTACTTGACTTCACGTTTGTCTATAAGCTTTAATCGCCTCACACTATCTCCCTCATGCCACTATGGAACTCACATAAAATTCATCGTTTTCCATTCGGGTTTCATTCGAGGCCATGCAGCGCGATTTCGTTCAATGGTCTCCTTGACATACACCAAATTCATCTTCATTTCCTGGGTCATCTTTGTTGGGTAATCGATTCGGGGTTGTTGTGTTGCCGGAGTCTCGTTGTTAATCCTTTCTGACTGGCCATCTGATCTTCACTGTTGAGTGAATGGAGCTGTTGATGAAATTCAGCAATGGCCTGTTGGTAGAAATGCTTTCTATGATGTACGTGACAAGTCTTTGGATTATATTCAAGCAACGATTTGACATCGATGTTGAAGATCCTGATGTTGTTCTTATGCTGGATACGGCATATTCACACACTGATTTCAGAGTAATGAAGATTTGTTATACTTTTCTGTTCCTACCTTTGACATCCTCGTCTGTCCCGCCTGTAGTTGGAACTATCCTTTCCAGGTAGCTGAAAGGTGATTTCATCTATATTTCTTTTGCCGGTGGTGGTTGGTGCTTACTGTTATTGGATAGGTGTCTTCATCAAACTTCTCTTTTCTATGTCCAGGAGACGTTCCGTTTTCTCTATATCTTCTATCAACTTTCTGGTTTTCTTCTGTAGATCTTTGAGGTTGAATGAAACACATAAATCACCAGGTTTTTTAGAGTCCTATGTTGGTTCAGAATATGCTCCCCACCGTCTGTTGAATGACTCAGTTCACCAAAATCAGGGATATCTTCGGTGATAGTAGGCAGCTTTGTCTTACTCCTCTCTTCACTGAGCTTTCCTCTGTGAACCACTTGCTATATTGGGTCATCATTATAGCTGTTGAATGAGTTTGATAAAGGTTTGGAGCACTCCATAGAGTTAACACAGTTTTCAAGTTGCTTCATGGTTCGGCTCTATCGATGGCCTTCACAAAGTCTATGGAGTTGAGGTAGAGAGTCGATTGCCATTCTAGGATTTATTTGTTGGTAAGTAACGTTGCAATTGGGTGTACACATGATTTTCTTTCCTTGAATGTAGCTTGTTGTGCGAGTTCCATGTTTTCTGTTTGTTCACAGGGCTTTCTGATGCATGTGAAAAAATTGCTCATGATTTGTATAGCCGAGAAACATCTATCTACACACATTCAATGGCTCACAGCAACTAACTCCAACTTTTATCGTAATTTCAACAACACACCATGTTAACAATACAGTATAAATCCTTAACTTCTTTTTGTTCCTGTAATTCGTGCCTTAGTCACTGAAGCCTATGTTCGAAGAGGAAGTACTGAGCAAAAAAGGATTTTCCCCTTGATCAAACATGCATCGTCGGATCTCACAATTACTTACATATTGTCGTCACTACATGCTAACAATCTTATGGAGTCAGCGATCATGAAACACGAGTAGTCAGCAGGAGTGTTTAGCTTACTGAGACCGTGTTTGACAAACGTAGTGCAAGACTGCATGCACTGAAGCATTGCAACTTCAACCTTCAGCTGTCAGCCCTACAGTGAGATAAAGTCCTAGATGACTGCGATTGTGTTATGTTACTCTGGCATTCGATTTATGATTAGAAATACCATTCACCACATCTTCCTTAGTGCTTATATAGACGACTGACATTTTATGACATGTTGCTGATTTATTGGATTATGAGTGAAATAGTACTCGGACATTTATTCTAACGTATATACATAGTCTAGCAACATGTTTACCGTCAACGTAATCAGACTCCCAAATACGCGAAGTTTTTGACTGGTTCTATCGTTTCACTTTGGCAAGCGGGTATAAACAGACTCTGTGGACTTGTAGCAATTATCATTGTGACATTAAGAACAAACTTTCAGCGAATGAGGTGTTTCCAACAGGTTTATTATCAAACTTTACATTAGCATATATATATATATATATATATATATATATATATATATATGTATATATATATATATATATAATATTGAGGGGTATTTAGCCAGTAAACACTAATAATCATAATAGTATTTGCATAAGCTACAATGAAAATTTTTCTAGTTCCTAAGTATAATGAGAGTCGAATATTGATTGATAGCAGAATAAGTCGTGCAGTATGGGATATTGTTCACGGAATGTATATATCCCATAAAGAAGTGTGAAAATAATAGGATTATTGGATAAATAGTAAGCCACATAACATTGTAATACAAATTGGGTAAATTATCCATTTTTGTTGCAAAATGAGTTACTAAAACGGATAGATGAAAGGACACCGCATAATGCCCAAAGGGAAGATAACACACTAGTAGTAGTAAAAGAAGGGTACACAGATTAATCTAACGAAGAGAAGAAATAAAAGAGTAAATAAATGCTTTTTACAATTATTTTTATGGTAAAATGGTCGAAATAATGACCGTACATACTTTTCTTTGCACACAAGCCATGGCTTCAGTCCATGAATAGCCAAGGTCTTCGCCATTTTAAGGCGTTGAGAACGAAAAGAACACAACAGGTTTAAGTGGAGTCGATAAGCAATCCTACAATGAATGTAAAAGATTCATTTAGCTACGGGAACCAGTAAAATTGTTTTAGGATGAGACTTTCTACAGACTGATTTTAACCGCATAAAACCATGCAGAAATAAGCTCTCTTATTCTCTGGTTACAGTCAATGTTCTTTGCTCCAGAAGAGCAGATGAACCGAAAAATGCACATACAGACGGTCAGACGAAGTGGCTTACCTTTTACATGGGCAGAAGAAGGAAAAGGCTAAATTAATTTGTGTACCCCTTTTTATCACTGCTGTTTCTATTCGTGTTACTTCGATATCCTGTGGTGTTGCTTCATCCATCCTTTTCAGTAGTACAACAAAAAAGAATAATCCACCCATCACATATTATATTGTTGTATAATGTCTTATTTGTGCAATAGTCTTATTTCACATCTCTTTCTCAGACGTATACATTCTACATTCTATAGTTACTTATATATGATTATCATCACAGATATTTTTGTCGTGACTAACATTAATATCATTATCATTACTACTGTGATACCTATTGCTTAAATTTCGTCATTGAAGACCGTTTTTAAAGGTACCATCTAGAGTAAATTTGTACTATCAATCTTGCCTAGGGCTTTAACGGTAAAAAATAAACAAAATACATGTATTCATCTTCAGCTGGTTGATGTATGGTTTGAATAGCTTGTACATTGCTACTAAATAAGACTATCAGATCAGCAATCGTTGTGTTTCCTGATATTGGTACCGTCTTCAATTCGTTGGACAGAATTGCTCTCCGGAACTGTCTGTTAGAGAGAGGTGTTCCCGAGAAGTTTGTGAACATCCTGAAAGCCCTATAGAGAAACACTTCAGGTAGAGTGAGGGCATACAACCAACTATCACCATTGTTCCCAACCAACAGTGGGATTAGACAGGGTTACCCAATCTATCCATTCCTCTCTAACTTTACTATCAGTGACGTTCTGTAGTCTGTCTGTCTGGATTCAACATAGAACTTGGCACCGAAGTACAGCAGTTCGAGTTGCCAAGTTCCGAATAGCACACGAAGGTAGACAAGAAGATGGGTGAAGAGAATAGAGTTTGAGTGAAACAGAATGGGTAATGGTAGAAAGGAATATGAAAGATTACAGAAACTGAATACATCTGCGCCATTAGCAACGATTTTGAGCCATGTCACCTATTGTCTCCAGCCATTGATTCCTAGAGTCCCGAGAGCCCCAACCCGGAAGTCTGCATCTCCCTACCTGACTCAGTTTAACTGTCAAGGATTTCATGGATTGATGGCATGTTTTTGTTTGGCCACCACTCAATCTTTTCCAACCTGCACCTATATCGGCTAGTAATGCCCGTCGTCGGGGGAGGCGATGGTTAGGCATGCGCAGCGCGTGACCTAGCCATCTCAATCTATGTAACTTTATAGCCTCGTCGATTGATTTTCTCTCTTTGCCCAATACTCTACGCCTAAAGTCAACATTACTTACCTTATTAAACCACCTAACGTGAGAAAGAGATCGTAGACATCTATGATCGAAAGGAGTCAACCTTTTCATGTCTTCAACTCGTATTGGCCATGTTTCAGAGCCATAGAGAAGGACGGAGCGAACTTCTGAGCAGTACCCACATCCCTTGGTTGATAACCGGATGTCACGCCTACGCCAAAGATGGTGTAAGTCAGCGAAAGCAGCTCGAGCGTTTTGGATCCGTGCTGAGATTTCATCGCCAATCAGTCCGTTGGTGCTGATACAACTTCCCAAATAGGTGAAGTGATCAACATGTTCTATCACTTCACTCCCTATCACTAAGTTAGGAGTTGACGTAGTCCAGTCCTGTAGCAGCATCTTACATTTTGCAAGGGTGAATCGCATGCGAAACATACGAAGATTGCTGTTCAAGGTGTTCAGAAGGCTCTGCATTTTGTCAGCATCTTCCCCTAACAGGACTATGTCATCTGCATATTCTAAGTCCATAAGACTATTCCCTGGTAACAAGTCGATTCCTAAGTCGTTAAGTTCAGTTAAGGATACTTCTATTAGCATATCTATGATGAAGTTAAACAGGAATGGGGAAAGTGGACATCCCTGTCGGACACCACTGGTTGTTATCAGTTCAGATGACAATTCCTCATAAGCCCTTACACGACTATGTGAGTCTGAATAGAGTGCCTTGATTAGTGCAATGTACTTTCTTGACACTCCCTTCAAGTTAAACATTGCCATAGTACCTTTAGATCCACGGAGTGGAAGGCCGCCTTCAAGTCAAGAAATATGGCAATTGTTGGACGCCGAAAAGTGTATCTGTGTTCTAGAATCTGTCGAAGAGTGAAGATATGATCTATGCACCGTTTACCTGGTCTAAAGCCTGCTTGATTTTCCCTCGTCTGTTCGTCCCGAGTTCTGCTTAGTCTGTGCATGATTACTGAGCCTAGGATTTTAGAGACTATGTTCGTTAGGCTGATCCCCCTATGATTATCACACGAGGACTTGTTTCCCTTCTTGAATATCGGTATAATAAGTGACTTACCCCAGTCTGATGGAACTGTCTCTGATTCCCAGACTTTGCCTAGTACCTCAGTTAATCTACAAACTAGTATATCACCCCCATATTTAAACACCTCCGGAATAATTCCGCCGGGTCCTGACGCTTTGCCTCGTTTCAAATTGCAGATAGCTTTTGTGACCTCACTTACAGACGGCGGACCAGTGTCTATATCCCATTCGGCTGTGTGCTGGATGGCTGCAGTCAACTGGGAAGGATGTGTGTGATAGTGGTGGTGGTGTAGATCTGTTTCGTGAAGACTTTTTGACCTCGAATATGCAGACGATATTGTCTTACTATGCAGTTGCATGCAGACTACCCACATTGCACTTAGTCAGTTGGAAATCAGTGTCCATAAGTCCAGTATGTGCCTTGCGCCGTCTAAGTACAAAGTACTGTTACAAGGTTGTTGGGAGTCTGTACCTGCACTCACTCTTGCAGGTGAACCGCCTGAGTTTGTTGATAAGTTTGTGTATGTAGGTAGTTGTGTGAGTGCTGGCAGAGGTGTGACGGATGAGATTTCCAACTGTATCATGAATGCTAGGGTAGTAAACGCCAACTTGAGCCACCTCTGGCGCCATCACGATGTTAAGCTGGCTGCCAAAGGTCGGGTTTATAACGTTTCGGTTGACTCAGTCTTGCTGTACGCTTGTGAAAAGCGGCCTCTACGAGCTGAGGGTGTTGGGCGACTCTGCATATTCGATCGTCTTTGTTTCCGTAGGATTGTTGGCCTTCGAAGGCATCATAGTGTGAGTAATCCTGAGATCTGGTAGTATGTGTTTGGACACAGTGGTGATCACCATCCATTGAGTGCGGTCATCAGCGGACACCAGCTCCGGTGACTTGCACATGTGCTACTAATATCACTCCAGAGGCCCCCATACCGATTTCCGTCCACTAACCCTGAGACTGGATGGAAAAAGGGAGAGGTGGTCAGCCCATGACTTGTGGCGTCGTGAGATTAAGGATATTTGTGCTAGGTTAGCATCAGTTGGTACATCACGACACCCCAGTTGAGGTACGAGAGACAGTTCGAATCGGTAACTCGAAACGTTATCAGATATAGTCAAGAATCGCAATCACTGATGAACATGCCACAATTTCCTTCTTCTCTTTCAGAATGTATCATGAAGTGTTGAATGTTGAATTGTCTTGAAAGTATGCTTGCTGCTTGCTTTCTGGATGACATCCCTTCTTCATTCTCTCCCTGTTTTCTTTATAGACTGTTGTTTTATTTTTGTGTGGCGCATTTGTTGGTTCCGATAATGTACCAAATTTGTTTTAAGTAAAAAGTAAAATAAGTAAGACTACATTGTCTGCCTAGTCTTTTTCCGTCATACACAAGAAATTTACTATAAATGCAAGAGATATTCTTAAGGTAATTATTGTTTATAAACAAAAAAAATTATGTATACTAGGCCACGTTAATAAGATAGATATTTTGCATTCAACTCATTCATGCTTTTTTGTCCATCTGTACTTTACAAGTTGTTTTATACCTTGCTAAATACACATTGTTTGTCTTTTTTTTAAAATCTACACATGTAGCATTCCACTGGGAATATTTCTATACCTAATTATCAAAATGGACATGGTACTTTAAATACATCCTTAACACCATTTCAACAAAGTAGTATGATAACAGGAAATTTAGATAATGCATCTTATTTCGGTACTGGAACTGGTTTGGGTCGTCAAATTTGTCAGGCACGTTTCAATTATCCAGCTTGTCAACCAGATGAATTATCAATTGAAAGGGGTGATAAAATACGTGTTTTAGAAAAAAGTTCGGATGGTTGGTGGCGTGGAATTTTGATTACTGAAGGTAAACCACAACGAATGGGATGGTTCCCATCAAACTATGTAACATTAGATTTATCGAAAAATTTGAATAGGTAAGTATTATATAACCTTTTTGGCTCATTTTTGGAGATATACGTTTTGTCTTGGTTTTTCACAGAAGGTAAAGTGTAAACATAATTCGTGCTTGTTGCGAAGGCTTACGAGACATTTGAAATAGTGTTAGTATTTGATGTCTTTTCAATATTTGATCGTAAACGGCAGATTCATAGAGTAAAGGTGTGTTTCACTGACGTAGTAGTCAGTAGATTTTCGCCTATCAGATTACGGGTTCGAACCTTGTCATATCAATTGCGGTTTAAGAGGTAAGGTGATAACGTAAGATTTAGAGTAATACGTATGTCTGTATATGGGTTAGTGAACCCATTGTGAACATAGTGACAATTCATTACACGGTCTTATTTTGTTTCTATATCGTCGTTAAAGACACTAATCAAACCTGTTCTTAAGTTGTTATTGGCTTGTTTTGGCCACTTTCTTGAAGCGACACAAGCTGTTATACTTCTGTATGCTTTCAGATGCGCAATTTAAGTAAATTAGTATTTGCTTCAAGTGTTCGAATTGCACTGCTCTGTTACTCAATGCTCATTTTAGCCTAAGATATACTTAGTTGAAGTACTTTCTAGTAATTCACTCTTTCAGGTATTAGTCATTAGGTAGTTCATCGGTTCGAAAGTTCCTTAAAAAGGCTAAGCAGTCTGGAGCAATCATACTTGGCGGTGTTAGTCTCCATAAAGTGTATAATCGATTGTCTGTTGTGTTAGAGTGTATATGTATATATATGACACTAAGTGGATTATTATCAAAGAAGCTATATTTTACATGGATGCTTGATTCTCACATATATTTTGTTTTTATGGTACTTTAATTCCTCACTTTTAACCTTTTTTACTTATATGTGCTTTACTTGTTATTACTGCTTTTACATGACGCTGACGTCTTATTGTTTTGCTTACACTTTTTAAATGCTACTCAATCCTGTTAGTCAATAAGGTTATTCGAATACATTTTTCAACTATTTGTTTGTACTCTTCAGTTGAAGCGAATGTCTTTAATTTAATTCGCCACTGTCGTTTTGATGTTACCTAAATGCAGTGCTCAGAGACCATCTTCACTCTTCATTATTCCAATACTGCGTAGAATTGTGCATTGTGAATCGTACCATTTCTATCACAGGGTTAATGGTAACGCTTTCAAGAATATAATGTATGTTGTGAAATGTTTCATTGGATCAGTGCGTGGACTTAGGACTGACTCAAAATTGTCCTTCAATAGCACAGATTCATTCACCGTTTGTAATCTCCCAGATGCATTAAGTTCTCACGTTTTTGTGCGTCGGTGGCACAGTGGTTAGGACTCTCGCCGACTATGCGTATGGTCCGAGGCTCGATACTCCGCCGACGCACACCTGATATCTATGGTCGGCCTGCAAAATTTAAGCTTCCTATATCCATGCTAAAAATTCCATACTTGTACCAAAAATACGGTGTGGAATCAAGCTGTAAATCAAAATAAAAAATAAAAAATATAACTATTCTTTCTTCCATATATTTCTGCTCGTTATAGTTCTTTTGAATACTTTTGTTCTTTTCTACCTTTGTGTGCTATATGGAATGTGACTTGAACTGGTGTGCTTCTGTACGATGTTCTATGTTGAAACGCGGTTAGTCAATCAATACGTAGACTGTTTTAGAGTATATTGTCTGTTTATAATGATTTTTCTTATTAATAATACTATTTGCGACATTCTCTTTAACATGTAGTCGATGAAACTGTTTCGAATTAGGGCTTTTACAGAATTTCATCATAAGTTGATATTGGTTAGAGAACCATTGGAAAACCTGGGAGTACTGGACAGCTGTTTCGTCCTAGTTTGGGACTCTTCATCTGTACGCACCCACCGGGATTCGAACCCAGGACCTTCCGGTTACAAGGCTGAGCTCTTAGACCATTAAGGTACTGGGACCCGATCCAATGGCCGATGAATTCCAGTTTCTGTCAATTCACAACATAGCGCGACCGCTAGCCAATGTCTTCAGCGAGTATTTGTCCTCTCACCCGACCTGCTGCACCTTACTGGTCACGACTTCTCACTAGAATCCAGGTAGCTACCTACCTGAATAGGACCAGTCACCAATGAGTATCTCATCGATATTCAAGTATTGGTTGTTGGGATTTGATCGGTTGGTTACAGGATTTTATCATGAGTTAACATTGGTTGAAGGACAAATACTCGCTGAAGACATTGGCTAGCGGTCGCGCTGTGTTGTGAATTGACAGAAACTGGAATTCATCGGCCATTGGATCGGGTCCCAGTGGCTTAATGGTCTAATAGCTCGCCTTGTAACCAGAAGGTCGTGGATTCAAACCCCAGTTGGTGCGTACAGATGAAGAGTCACACACTAGGACGAAACAGCTGTCCAGAACTTTCAGGTTTTCCAATGGTTCTCTAACCAATGTCAACTCATGATGAAATCCTGTAACCAGTCGATCAAATGCGTACAAACCAATACTTGAATAAGGACTTTTCTTGTATGAAATGAAAATAATATGCTATTTAACCATGTGCACGTATATCCAGTTAGTGATGAGCCACACCTGTTGTGTAGGCGCTAGTAATGGTGTCTTACTGTTCAAATCTCTCCACTTTGAGTGGAGTTAGATCCTACGACCAGCTGTTTGGAAAGTAACTAGTGATATCTATAGAATAATAAAAATAATTTATCTGCTGGTGAATGCCTTTAACAATAGATTTATAGACTTTGATGGATTGCATTTAGTGTTCTGTCAATTTGTGTTATCCGTCTGGTGTCTCTTGAATTTCTACAGGACCTGGACATTTTCTATTCCATTTTCATTTCAAATAACTGCATGAATTATGTTTAACTTTGAAGTGTCATTCTGTGAGAGTCTTCATTTACTTCAGATTACCATATATTCATGTAAGGGCAGTGTTTAGACGTTAATCGGAAATTTAGTCCTTAGAAGCCATTGAATTTAATATATTTATGAGTTGAAGTTTCTGTAGCAGTTTGTTTAGGTTTTGGGGGTGGAGTTGCTAGCACCACGCCCCAACCTTCCCTCTTTATCCGGGCTTGGGACCGGCTAGAAAACTAGCGAGCTAGTAATCTAGGCGAGGTGACATCGCGCGTCAGGCCCTCCAGTGGAACTTGAAAGGGAAGCGGCGAGTGGGATGTCCAAGGGTGACATGTAGGAGATCGTGTAGAGAGGAGTTGAAAGAGTATGGACTAACACGGATGCAGGTGAAAAGTACAGCAGAAGGCAGAAGCAAGTGGAGGCGTGCAGTTGAAGTCCTGTGTTCCACTAGGAACCCAAGGGAACAATAATAAAAAATAAAAAATAGAAGCCATTGAATCCTCCTTGCTATTCTGCACATGTTATGTTGGCTAAGCTACCGTAACTGAATTAAACCTATGATACATTACTGTTCGGAAGCGATTCTCTTCAAAAACATTTTACGAAACAATTGTGATGGAGAGAAATAAGGCAAATAACTATTAAGAATACTTATTTGTTGGGTCTCAGTTACTCGGAACAGGTCTTTTATATTTCAGATTATGAGCTGCATTTATTGCGTGCTGTGGCTGATCATACTACCCAGTTGCCCAGCCTGAAGTTTGTGGAGCAGGATTCGAACCCGGTACTCACTGGTGGTAAATCGAATGCTTACACCGATAAATAGCATCTTCAACAATTAAGAGAATAATAAGGAGAAACACATACATGAGATTTATGTTCAATAACTGTTCCATCATTTTCGTTTTTCTTCCCAGAAGTACAAGACACTACAGTGTGTTTATGTGTAAACAATTATGGCATTATACATTTGAATAATTGTATTTCGTCTTAAGCTGTGCGAAAAGTATTTGTTACGCTTATATTTTTGTGGTTACTTAATTGACAACCTAGAACGGTTATTCAGTTGACATCAAGTTCTGTTTTGCTAATGATTCTGAACCTATTGAGCAGAAACCGTAGTATGTTTGGTATGCGATTCGACCCTGTCAATTATAAGATGATGCTTCAGGACTGGTCGGCACTGACTCTCAGTTCTCAGCACAGATACGAAAGGCTCGTTTGGCATTTGCCAACCTACGTAGATGCAGTATCCGGCTATTGCTCAAAAGATGTGTTTACCGGGTAACAGTTCTCTCTGTCCTCCTTTACGGCAGTTAGACAGCCGTTGAAAATGGGAGATATGAAAACACTATCTGTCTTTGGCTACAGATGTTTGTGTTTTATTTCTTGAACTGAAAGGTATAATATTGTGATTAAAGTTAAGCTCAGAGTGCTAGGTAGTGAAAGAAAGTCAATCGATAAGGTTATGAATCTATATCTTTTGAAATGGCTAGAATACGTGTTACGCATACTGAACTACCACCTTCCTTGATAGCAGTGTTAGCTAACATGCGGTTGGCTTGGGAAGTAGTTAGGGACGGTCAAACCAAAACTGGGTATCAGTCTATGAAGTCTTTAGCTGTTGGTTTGGGCCACGTAGTCGCGATAATATAAATCCTCAGATTCAATGACTTGAGACTATTGACGATCTGGCTTGAAACTGTCCTTGATGTTGCAGATACTGTCACTCTTTCTAATCCTCCAAATTCATTTAATTCTTCTATTTATGTTGTGTTATCATTCTTTTCACCGAACATTTCTGCTCGTTGTAGTTCTTTTGTACTCCTTTTCTCTACCTTGTGTGCTGTATGGAATGTGGCAATTTGAACTACAACATTTTTGTGGAAACTTTTACGTTGAAACTGTCATTATTATTATTATCCATATCTTATAGTTTAGGCATGTCCCGTAGGTCTTCATAAGATATATACGGTCATTTGGTTTAGTTTATCTCAAATTTCATTATTGTAAAATTTTTTTGTATTTCCCAATGAATGAAAAAGCAAACGATATTGCTGTTATGCATGTTTCGCTATTTAATGCTGCTAACAACTTTGTCAAAGTAGTATTAAATCAAAATCTACAAAATTTCAACTTATTTATTTTTTTATTTTTG